TCTTTGGTGTGAGTGTTGTCTTCTTGAATTATTGTTGTCTCTGATAGAATTACAATGCAAGTTCTTCAGTGATCACTGAACATACTCAGTGAAGATCGCTGGAACTGAAAAGACAGAAACATAAATACAACGTATAATTAAAAAGGGATTATCATCAAATCACTAAGAGAGAGGATCAACAATAACCTCCAGTTTTATGGATGTATACCATGATCAAGATTTTACGAAATGGATAATCACTATAATTGATTACCCACGTATTGAAAGAATAGTACCTTGGAGATGATTTAGAAATGATCGTACAAAACTTGAGGCTTAAGAACGATTCCCTCCTTCCGGATTACCTACACGTATTAGCAAAAGGCTTTTAGTTCAAATTCCAACAAACTATTACATTTTCATAGAACCAATGGACCTTCAAACATGCTTAACATACCACTAGGACACTTAGGGGCTGTTCGGTTCGTTTTCTATTAAGACCTGTATAGATAAAGTTGTTGTTCGGTTGCAGTGCTGAATAAACACTCTAAATGATATATATGACCATTTTACCCCTAGTTTTTTTTTCATAAATAAAAAATATTTCAATTTCTTCATTTCCAACCAATGGCAGCCCCACCAACCCTCCATCTCCATGTGCCAACACCTTCATTTCCCATCATCGACCAACCGCTGGAGACAACTGAAAACTCATTTTTTGTTTTTTGGAAATGGGTATTTGGAAAACCTACAACTCAATAAAACACACAAACACAAAGACAAACACATATTTGGGCAAAGAAATCGAAAATTTTGGAGGAAGAAATTGAGTGTCGAACTCGACAAGATTTTGCAACAGAAGAACTCGAAGATTTTTGAGGAAGATTTTGTAGGTCGAGGCTAGAGGAATACGCTGGTCGGAGGTAGAGGAATATGCCAGCGAACAGCTTTCTTTAGACCTGCTGATGATTTGAACTTTGAAGCTTGAGAGGTCTCTAATATTAGAATAAGGAAGGAGAAGATAAAGTGGAGAAAAAAATGTGAATAATTTTAACAAATGGATGGTTGATTTCATATAAAGGGAGAAGAAGACGAAATCAGGGAAAGGATAAAAGGGGAATAAATGGATCAATAAATGACTAAGTGTATATGACTCTACTTTTGTAGTTGAGCGATTCAGTAATGAGCTGATCAAATAAGCCCATACCGAACAGTTAGACATGGTTGCGCGAATAAGACATATGGGCTATACAACCCATTAAACCACACTCGAACAGCCCCTTAGTAAACATATAACACAATTCCTAGGACCATAAACAACATTTGCTAAAATCCAATTTTCACGATTCGAAATAGTAGCTAACAGATTCTATACACCAAAAGTTTAAGCCTTTTTCTCATACATAAAGGCTCAAGCAAACTTTCTTATCAAAATGAAAGTTGTATATATACCTCTTAGGATTTCATATCAATTGGATTCACATAATTTGGAGCTATGATCTATGTTATATAGAATTTATACAAACATAGTGCAATTTTGTGTGGCTACATACATGATCTGGAAAATCAGAGATTTCAAGCCACTTAGAATATGAATTAGGTTTCTGAGTAAACTACAAATTTTAGATAACTTAGATAACTTTCTAACAATATAAGGAACGCATCAATTGGACAAACGACTGAAGTTATACGAATTTTAAAACTTACTTAAATGAATCTGCCACTTCTAACAACACCAAGCTTGAAGGAATTCCACCTCAAATCATCAACTTTTCACCTATGTTCATGAATAAACTTAGGGTTTAACCCTCTTGTCCCAAAATTGAAGAAATCACAAAGTTAAACCATAAACACACCTTATTTTGAGTCCCTAATTCCAATTCCTACATCCAATCTTCAAGAATATCAAGATTTTAGAAGAAACTTTGAGATTTTGAGGAGAGTTAGGGTTTTCCTAGAGAGAGGGAGGAGAGATCGTAAGGTAAAGAGAGAGAAGAAATATGATTTTGGTTTAAAAAAATAAATTTCAACCACAAGGGTGGTGCCTGATTGGTTTGAGCTTCACTCCAAAAGTCAAAAGTACTTGTAGGTCTTTGGTTCAAATCCAAGGAGGATAAAAATCCCCTTGTAGCCACGGAGATTCAAATGCGGTGACTCCGGCTATCTGTAAAACAGGTGGTCGCCCTGGGATTAGTTGGTTCGCATAGCAGATTGGATATCCAGGTTAATAAAAAAAATAAAAATAAATTTCAAATATATATTTTCAACATTTACAATTTGACCCTTGATCTTTAACTTATTTGCGATATAATCCTACTTTGGCGATTTCCTTACATTTTTGGTCCTAACCAATATTGTTTTAACCAGCATGGTCCTTTAGAATAAATTATAAAGAACTTGGTCCTAATAAACAACTTTTGAAGGTTAAGGTACAAGTCAATAAAGCACAATTTTATAAATTGAACATATTTGGGTTTTTGGCTACGAGATTGGATTTACTAAATACGGGGTATTATAATTCTCCTACCCATAAAAAAATTTTGTCCCCAAAATCGAGTTAGAGTTACGAATTTATGTACCTTCAAAGAGTTGCGGGAATTGCTTTTTCATTGATTCCTCCATCTCCCATATCGCTTCACTTTCAGAATGATTTCGCCATAAGACTTTAATGAATGGAATTGATTGATGACACATTTTTCTTTCTTCACGTCCGATAACAGCTTCAGGTTCATCCTCATAAGATAAAGCTGGTTCAATCTTGTCAAGTGGATAATCAATGATATGCAGCGGATGATATCGGTAACCATAGAGCGCCGACACATGAAAAACATTATGAATATGAGCCAACTGGGGAGGTAACGCGAGGCAATACGCTACTTCACCAACTCGTTCTAGAACTTCAAAGGTGCTAATATAACGTGGGTTGAGCTTTCCTTTAACTCCAAAACGATGTGTAGCCCGTAACGGAGAAGCATTAAGGAAAACATGATAATCTGACTAAAATTCCAATGGTCTACGATATCGGTCCGCATAACTATTTTGGCGCGATTGTGCCTCTTTCATTTTCTTACATGCAACTTCAACTTTTTCAGTTGTGATTTGAACTAACTCAGGTCCTTCAATTGCCATTTCGCCTACTTCATTCCAGTATGTAGGTGTTCAACATTTACGATTATAAAGAGCTTCATATGGAGCCATGCCAATACTGGATTGATAATTGTTGTTGTACAGAAACTCGACCAGATAAAGATATTTGTCCCAACTACCGAACCACTCTAGAACGCAAAGCATGAAGCATATCTTCGAGGGTCTGTATCGTCTGTTCAGTTTGTTCTTCCGTTTGAGGATGGAAATGCTTGCCAAAATCAAATTAATATAATTTGGATAAATGTAAATATGTAACATCCCATCCTACTAAACTTAAGATGAGACATGTCACAACCGAAAACGGATCAAAAGTCTACCATTTATAGGACAGAGCTCTAATGGAACTCCCAAAAAAAACATTACAACCATTATATTACATAGCACTAACATAATCACCTAATAACATAGCAAAAACACTATATTCAA